AGCATTCTAACTTATCCTTAGTGAAATGGCAGAGTTAACTGAATTTGAACGTGGAATCATTATCGGAGGGTGGCTCTTTGGACACACTGAACGAGAAATTGAAGCAAAAACTGGCCATCCAAACCAAAAAGCACAGTACATGACACAATAGAAAGATATTGTAAAACTGGGGCTGGAAGTTCTCGTCTGCGCAGTGGATGGCCACTAATACTCACTGATTGGGACAAGTGCTATATTGTAAGAATTGTTAAGTCAATCGTCAACAATCAGCAAGACAACTCCAGAGCAACTTTGTCCAGTCATCTGAAACTGTTGCTAGCATTAAACAATTAAAAGAACTTTGCATGAAGCAGGCTATCATAGTCGAGTTGCTGTCAGGAAGCCACTCATTTCAGCAAAAAACTGCCAAGACCAGTTACGGTGGTGTAGACAACATCAAGAATGGATGGATGAGCAATGGAAGAAAGTTATCTGGTGTGATGAATCTCGGTTTACTTTATTTAAAAGTGATGGGAGAACTCGGGTTTGGAGGCTTCCAAAGGAAAAATATGACATTGACTGTGTTGTTCTAACAGTTAAGCATGGTGGTGGTGGGGTAATGGTATGGGGCTGTTTTACATGGGAATCTTTGGGGCCTTTGGTCCAAGCTGAAGGAACGATTAATAGTCAGAAGTATATAGACATTTTAAACACTCATTTAATACCATTTATGGAAGGACTTAAGGAGGAAATTGTTGAGTATGAATTTCAGCAAGATAATTCTACTGTTCACACAAGCAAACTGACAATGACATTCTTTGATGATTCGGATATAAACTTGATGAAATGGCCTGGACAGAGCCCTGACCTTAATCCCATTGAACATCTATGGGATGAGCTTGAAAGACAAATTAGAAAACGGGACCCTCCACCTGTATCTGAGAGAGAATTAGCTGTAATTCTTCAAGAAGAATGGAAGAAAATTTCGGACGCTGTATTTCAGAAATTTATTCTAAGTATGAACAGTAGAGTTAAAGCAGTTAAACAGGCTAAAGGCTATGCAACAAAGTATTAGTGAGATTCTAGATCATATTTTGCTTTACAGTTGTGCTTAAATGCTATTTCGATTGCATGGATTATTAAAGTTTTGCTATATTTTAACATAATAAACACATAATAAATACACAATTTTATTTCTCGGTAGCCGAGTAAGATAAAAATGTGATATTTTGACGTTTTGTTGAGGTATTTAAAGGCTTTCAATAAATACTAATTTGCATCGGGTCGTAGCATAATTTTTATTTGTGTACATTTTTAAACGTTCAGGTCGGGAAACTTAATTTTTCACAATTTCGGTTGATTGAAGTCGGGTATAAGTAAACCTGACCGTTTACATATTAATCTATGTCAAAATTTTGCAGGAGTGTGGACTGAGACAAGCGCAAACGATAGACAAAAGTTCGTGGCGTTTGTAAATTTCTTTACGGAACTATGCATGATCAACAGAAATTTTAAGGGGTGGTCGGAGACTTTTGGTCACCCACTGTACAACCCGCAACGATTCCACCCTCGAGCAGGCCAAGATGTGTTCATAAATGGGAAGCCGAAAGTCCCAAAGAGAAAGAGGCCTGAGAGTTCTTAGAAATCAGCATGCAGTGCAAAGAAGCGACAGCAGTTGGCTGAACAGAATACGGCTCTGAAAGAAGAGAATGCTGCTCTGAGTGATAGACATGCTGTTGAGCCTACTGCTCAGAGAAGAAAACGAGCACCTGGTGCTGACATTAATAACAATAATTTTTATGTTTAATTTTAAGACATTATGAATTCTTCTCCTTTTTTTTGTATATATTTTTTTGTTTCTTTTTATAATAGTAACAAGGACATATTATAAAGTACATGCTGTATGTGTTTTAAATTGTTCTTAAGTAAACCCATACAACTACGTCGGAAGATCTTATTTCCTTGCGTTAATTCTCAAATGTCATATCGATTTAACAAGCAATGGCATTAGTGCAATTTGTTTCCTGACACACGTATAAAACATTATTATTAGACAAATAATTAGCTAAATAACACATACTGATACATTACATCAATTAAAATAGATCATTTTAAAAATTCAATATTATTGTCAGGATCGAAACCTAAACATGACATATTCAAATCACTCGAATTTGCCATGCGCAGCTAGGACAGCGACAACTAAAATTAGGCAGTCCTAATATATCGAGATTTTAGGACAAACACACGAAATATCCCCCATCTATCCAAAAATCGGGACAGTTTAGTTATAAATACGAGCCGTAGTCGATAGCTAAAAATCATCTTTCAGATCAGAATCTTCAATACAGATCATATTTCAGCAAGACGTTGCTATTAGGATAGTTCCTTATTCTAATAAAAATCCGATTCAATTATAAATAATATTATTTCGTTTATTCCCTGATAAGAGATACTTAGTGTCGCTGGCGAAGTGTAAAACGCTTTTCCGTCATCGGCAAATAAGATTGATACTTGCCAATCGATTCTATTTAGTACTTTTGCATCAGGATTATTGTTTAATTTAAAGTTAGTGTAGAGAGATAATTTCCCCGACCGAGAAGCTCTGACATCAGAGAAATCGACGTGATACTCGAGGTTAAGCAATAATTCAGGGACAGACCGATAATATACAGATCGTGGGTATAAAACCTAGTTAAAGGTCACCAATTGTTGTTAGTATTTAGTTTGAAGTAGGAAGAGCAAAAGCTCCCGTCGGCAAAGGACTAAATCCCAAGGCATAGTGCACCATCGCTCTCCCAGGTGTAAGCTAGCTCGACATTATACAGATAAATGTCTGCAGAAAAGTCTAAATAAAACCAATTAATTTTCTCCCAATTATTGGCACGCATCCGAAAACTTATTCAGTATCTGTTCCATCTTCTTCCTCTAGACTGAGGTCAAAGAATTGACGACAGTTAGTTCCTGTCATCTTTAATACTAAAAAACTTGTGTAAAACTTACGTTGTTTGACTCAACCCAATCATCCACACCAAAATATCTTCAATTCGTTTGAATAGTTGAGAAATCAATCTACGTTCTGGTGAGAATTCATAAGTTACATTTGTGGTAAATGACGGAAGCCTTCTTGCTGTTGGTGGAAGTAATGAAGCTAAGGAAAGTATCAAAAACTAAATCTGTATTTATCATCACACGCCGCCATAGCATAACAATACCTAACATACCCAATAGCTCTCCCCTTGACTTGAGAAGCTCAATTTAAAACCTCGGCCATACTTCTCCTTCAGTCTTAATTGTGGTCGTGCCATAATGCTAACTTTTGACAGAGAACTTCTGCTTCTTCCATCGAATGCGTGGTCAATATTGACCGTTCGTGTTTTCGCCTCGTTGATGATATTCCGGATAAGTCCGGTAGTGAGTTCATCCAAAAAGACAACGGCTGGATCCTCAACTAATGCTATCGCTATGGACGTTTTTCACCGCCGCTAAGACCGCGAGTAAGATGATTTTCGAATGGTACTAGACGTACGGGTTCTAATGATTCTATCACCATTGCACATTACTTGTTCCCTTTGGGTCTTGATATCAAAGCCATTGAGAATTGCATTGTTGTTAGATAGAGACCCGTCAAAATGTTGAGAAGCGTTGTTTTGCCTAAAGGAGAAACGAAATTATTATCAAAATCATGCAAACAAACATGTAAAGCTTTTCTCTCCTCTCTTCCCATTACGCACCACTGTTTGTTGTGTAATCCATTCGATCCGATCCGTGCTGTAAACTGACGGATTCAAGCTTGCCTCGTTGACAATGCTGAGAGGGCGGTAAATGCAAACAATGCTTATCGTAGTGAAAATCGACTCTGTTTCCATGTTAATAATTACGCCGCTTGTTAATAATAACGCATGACATAACTAAAGCAGTACAGATCTTGTTGAATATTACCGAAAAAAGAAACGCTAGGGCTATCTGCAAGTGTCCCCAGATAAAGAAAAAAGCCAGAGAACGGGCGATGAGGTTCTAGAAAAAAATTCCATTTTAAAGATAGTCTGCTTGCCACAAAGAATACGGAATTGATGACGTGTAGAATGTAAAAATGGATATAGTGCGTCATGTATTAAACGCAATTTTCATACGCATCACAACCAAAACTTTGTTCTCCTTTTCTTTGACCAGTGTGATTACAATGACTCTCATAGATATGGCATGACACGAAACCCGGCTGTTATAACTGCACTCACATTAGTAACGCGGTATTCGATTGTTAGTGTTGGATCTCTCCGCCTGGAAACGGAATACTCTGGGCAATGCGATCATCACGGCCAATTTGCGTGGTATAGCTCCACCCCAAGACACGCTTGTAACGGCTTGAGCGAGACTAACGGCCAATTGCGGTTGATTATCGAGAGCTTCGGCTTCACGGTCTCAGATATCATATTAATATTTGTTTTAAACATAATTCGTGTCGTGTCCGTAGATATATCGATATTGGCTATCTACTAAATATGGCACTGATCCTGGAAAAAAAGTTAAGCGTTACACACGCATCGGGTTATATGTTTTGTACTTGAAAACTTAACTTCTTATTCGAACGATGTCCTTAGTTAATAATCCAGCAATTGACAACTTGGTTCAATGCTCCTTGGAAAGTGAAAATGAATGCTTACGACTTGAATGGATTCCTTGCTCGGAACTCATCAACATAAAGCCAACTCAAATTGACAATGTCTACTACGCTAGTCGTAATGGCGTTAAGACAATGCTGCTATGCCTTGGAAACAGCGGAGAATGTACACAAACACTTGTTAGTGAGTTTGCTAGAATATACTCACTTTCGACACACAAGTACAACAATGATGTTAATCAGTTCAGAAGACATTCCGTATGGCTTAAGAATCGCAACAGACTCATAAA